GAATAGGGTGCTGGGGCCCATTATAGTACAACTATAACAAGGAACCCCCAACAATAGTATAGGTAATTATAGTTTTTAATAGGGTGTTGGGGCCCAGTATAGTATAACTATAACGAGGAGCCCCGCAAAAGAGTATAGGTAATTATTCAGGCCCCTTTTTTAATGCCATCTTCTAGTTCTTGTAATATAACTCCAGGGGATTTAGGTTTTAGGGTTTAGGGTTTAGGGTTTAGGGTTTAGGGTTTAGGGTTTAGGGTAATTCTGGTTCTAAGGGCGGCTAGGATACTGGGAATTTACACGAAAAGGAAGCTTATGGTAGGTCAAGGTAAATCTTGCGACCGAGATGCTCCGTAAAAGTATGGCGGTTGACTTTAGGCCCTAAGTCTAAGGCTTCGACGCGTCGAAGTTTGGAATTGTTGAGCCGCAAGGATAAGAGATGCCGGGCAGGGTCTTGAGGCGATGTGGGCCGCAGTGTTGAACTACCCAGAGGGTCCACATATACTACCATTATGGAGTCGGGTCCAGAAAGATCATCCTTGTTCTGGGTGTTTGCTGTTCAGAATCAGCCGGCGAAGCCTGCATGAGGTCGACTTTGTGGAGGTCTTTATCAGCCATTCCTGGTCGGCTGGCCGGTGGGAGAAGTACTTGGCCCTGTGCTACTTTCTGAACCTGGTCGAATCGAGGGTAAGGGATACTGCAAGGGTCATTGCAGTTTAGCGTGATGGCGGTGTTCAGGTTAAGTTCTGCGTTCCTCCCGCCAACAATCCAGGAACCTCGGTTTGGCAGCAAAGGCGATGCTGGCATCTGTGGTGCTTTCCCAAGCCCTGATGCTGGTGTTTCCCGATTCGTCCATCCACATAATGTACCTTGTGCTGCTGGACCTGCCAGTTGTTGCCTTCTTCTTGGTCTTCTTTTTTGGGCAGCACCTCCCTTGTGGAGTTTGGGGTCCCCGCTTCTGGGTGGACAGGCTCTGCGTGGACCAAACCGATGAGACAACGAAGTCCGAAGGGATCGCAGGCTTGCCCACGATTGTGGCAAATTCTTCTCAAATGCTCGTCCTCTGGGACAAGTCATACTACGAACGGTTCCTTTCTGTCAAACCTTTGTCACACATTCTGAGCGGAAGCGGGTTAGAGTAAGAAGCCTATCTGTACGAACTTTTGTGTTGAAAACACTGAACCCATTTGTGGGTCTTCAAGCAACAAGGCTCTGGTGCAACTTTGAGCTATCGATATTTGTGAAAAGCCACGGTCTAAAGAGTTTGCGACTATTGCCACTGTGGCTCACTCCGTGGCTGCTGACGACGATGTTGTTCTCATATATTTCAGCTCGGCTCCTCGCTGTCTTCACCGAGTTCGGTGATCCTGGCAATGCTGTCGAGTGGGCAGGAATGGGCGCCAATGCGCTCGCAGTTGGGTTGCAGCGACTGCGCAAGTATGCAGTGGACGGTCAGGTTTTCGTGCTCTTCTGTATACCACCCATCATGATCGGCGTTGTCTCTTTCCAAAAGAAATTGGATGGACACCGAACCTACGTTCCCCAGTAGTACCCTTTTGCCCTTTGTCTTTTTGGGCTCCCTCATGCAAAACCGCAGAGTAGGAAATAGTAGGAAAAAGGGTCCTAGACCCTAAACCCTAAGCCCTAAACCCTAAAACCTGAACCCAAAACCCTAAACCGTACCCTTATTATTAAGGGGCTACTGGGGAACCTAGGAACTATGCTGGAGAGCATGGACTCCTTCGATGTACGGCATGCCAAATGCGCTGAGGAGAACGACCGCCACTTCATCGAGGCTCTGTTTAGGTTGGTTGGTTGGTTGGTTTAGGGTTTAGGGTATTTAGGGTTTAGGGTTTAGGGTTTAGGGTTTAGGGTTTAGGGTTAAGGATTTAGGGTTTAGGGTAGGGTTTAGGGGGGCGCCAAACTGCTCTCGCGAGCCCATACTACAAGAGCCTGGTCAAGTCTTTTGGGATAGAAGCCTAAGTAGTTACCAACACCATTGTTAGGATTGCTTGTTGTAGCTATACTATAAAGGAGCCAATACCCTATTCTAATTATTAAAGCCCCTACCTTACGCATGGAATGTTGAGTTCAAAATCCTAAACCCTAAACCCTAAACCAGCATGAATCGTTGGCACGGCGTCTCTCACGGGAAACTGCCGACCACTGTCAGAAAGCCATGGAGCACCGTGAAGTCCACCCCATGCAAGCTCTTTTACTATTAGGGTTTAGGGTTTTAGCGTTTAGGGTTTAGGGTTTTACTCAAGCCAGGATCACAGCACCAATCAAGCATAAAACTGAATTCTCCGACTCGGATAGTCTTCACACCAAGTTCGCAGTCATTGCTGAGTACCGAAGAAAGGCTGCAAGTGGAAGCACAAGCGAAAGAGAAAGGCCTCTTGCTCACACAAAATGCCCGCTGATAAGCCGTGGGATTCCTACAATCTGGAAGTACAGATAAGAACTTAGCCGCACTTCGGCCGTTCTCGTATGCACCAGTCATCGGAAGTTGTCAACATTTGAAGGAAGCTGCCATGGAAGTAGCGTAGGGATCGATGGCTTCCGAAGATTGGGGTTCAAGGAAGATTCTACAACTTGGGTTTCATGCTGGGAGTTTTCCCGTTTTTCCCTGAAACTCTACTTCCAGGGTTTAGGGTTTAGGGTTTAGGGTTTCCCGGGGCCCTTGAGCCTGATCCTGCCTGCAAAGGGGCCGCAAGCAACACCCTCGACGGGACAGAAGT